TACATTGCAGTTGCCATCATCAATGTACAATTCTTCCCAAGGATTTAGCTCGCAAGTAGGATATCGTGGACAGTGTAGTTCGGCCTCAGACAGTCCCATCTTTCGTCGCTGTGTCGAACAAAGCGTGATTCCTAGTTCTTCTCAACAACGGGTTTTTCACGATTCGGATTTGCTTCGGAGAGATCCTCTGGTAACCAGTGTTACAACAGCAAAGAACCCAATATTCCAGCACTGTCTTGATAATATGAAAGCGGAATCTCGATCCCCTCGTGAAAATTCAGTGTTCTGCAATGAATCAAATGAATCAAATGAACAGTATTCAAGAGAGCTAGCTCGTGATGATGGGAATATTACAAGACCATACGTCGTGAATGAAAGGTTTTCCTCACAAGACACAAGCAAAACCTCATCTTCATCGCTTACAAATGCGAGCAAAGGACTTGGTAACGAAATGCAAACTAGACTTAAGCTCGTTTCAAACGAAACACCAGAAGTTGCCGTAATGTATAATATTCGTGGACAGCCGACCTCACCCAACTCCACAGGCGTGAGTTCTCCACATTTGGCTGGAGTCGGTAGGGCCAGACTCCATGCGGAAGCTCGAAGGAAAAATTTTGGCGGTGTCACTTTCAGTCCTTCAAAGACATCAGGTATTGATGTTTTGTTGCTATTTACACTGAACATAAAGCATTTACACGAAGTCACAATTGCTATGCTTGAAAATATGTTACCAAAATATGTTACCAAGCAATCACGACCTGATCACATGGGTTCCACTCTCAACCAATCAGATGCTAAACTTGTAAACTAATCACGAGTTGGTCGCCTGCGTTTTCGCGCTCTTTAGACGCTCAAGACGTTTTTTTGTATTATACACTTTTGTGTTTGTTTCGCTTGATTTTTAATAATTTTGAAATGGAGGATTAACGAGCACGAGCAGACATTATGATAGCTATGACTTTAGTTAGGGAATAGCACTTAAAACTGATAGAGATCTGTCGAGGGTGAAAGGTCACCAGAGTACGCCAAATCGACTTCAGGCTAACCCATACGTACCAGTTTACTTACAGCTTGAATTGAAGTTTGGTTTTTTATGTTTTAAATTGCCTAAACGAATTCGCGCGGGTTTATCTTTCCGAGAAATTGAGAATACCGGTGCCATCCATTCTTTGTTAGTCACATACAGTCGGAGGCGAAACGCGAAACGCTACAAGATGCTTTCCTTTGCGTTGCTCACTAGCTTTTGTCGAAGATTATGAAAAATAGTAAAATTGACAAAACATTCTTTGTTATCTCTTCAAGGAATTGGGGTGGCCGGCACTCCTTCGACTGGAAGGGGCAGGGGCATGTTAAGCCTCATGTAATCGTCATCATAAAGTCCACTTATCGGTGAGATGGCTTGAGCAGCGAAAGAGACGTGATTCTCTGTACGTGGTGGAAAAATAAAAGGAACAAATATTTACACGTTTATATTTCAGTTAAGATGATAGACACAGTTCCAGTTTCAAAAGTGATTAATTTATTTTTCGACGGATATGCTACTCGAACTCTTCCGTGGGTTGCAGGACGAGGGTCCCGGGGTTCCGCCCCTTCTTTTGATACTGATACTGTGGACGTGACACTCCAAAAAGCTAAAAGCGTGTGTTACCGCACGTAAATACGTGACACGTAATAAACTGGAGACAGAAGTCAACTTAAAGGCGATGGCGGTTAATTAAAGATCTGTCTGGTTCGCGCTTCAAAAATTTGCCGCTAAAGCGAAATATTTGTTTGGTTTTTCTTTCTTTTTTTTTTTTTTTTTTGCTTAATATATTTAAAAAAATTCATCGACGCTTCTGAATCCACTCGTTGTTGTATGGATCTGGTGTTATTTCAAGTTTATCCTTAAAGTTTAATCCAAGAGATTACTTGGAACGCCCCCAACGTACTTGAATTCTGAACTTTGAGTATCAGCTGATACTGTAAAGTTTGTTATCAAAAAGTGTTTAATAAATCGAGAAAATAATTTGAGTTGTAAACAAACGCGATGAAAAAGCTGTTATCAGTGTTGTTTTGATGCTGGCTTTTCCGTAATTTTAAACTAGTAATCCAATCCTTGTGGAATAAAAACAATTGAAACCTTTGCATTTACATATGAATATTCAAAACACCTGTATAAGGGTATGGGGTAATGCAGCGCTGCTTTTGTATGTCACGTGTTGTTTTAAAGCGTTTTTCAATGCCATGAACGGAAAAAAGAAAAGTGGTCTTCTTCGGCGGATGAATAATTTCATTTCTCCCCGTTGCGCGCCCTCGAGATTATCAACCAATGTGATCTATATTTAAACGCGGAACATGCTGTTCACGTTGCGGATATGGTTCGACTGGACTTTGGTCGTGCATCATCTCGTTTTCACGTGTCGATTTTGAACTGACAATGTATATTATAACAGTCAAACACAGCTTGCTTGATTAGTCCTATCAAACGTTCTTCGTCTTCTTCAACATCTCAGAATATTTTCCCAAGAACACCGTAATTTCAAAGTAATTGGATCTCTGAAGGAATGGTTTCGCTGTCTATTATTATGTGTCGAGCGTGGGACCTTTACGTGATGAATGCAGCCCTAAGCGGTTGGGTTTTGTCGAAAATTAACACTTACAACTCCAGTTTGTTATGTGTTTGGGTCATATTCCTTTGTGATATGGTTTACATCTTAGACGCGCTGGCCAGGACTAGTAAGACTTCTATGACCTCTGGTAGGTGGGCGTCCTTCGCGTTAAATGGTTTACCAAGAACAGCTTTAGCGAATTTATCGGCTGTTGTCAAAGTGGTAACATTTGTCCCATACCATGTTTTAGTTATTTTGGAACTAGACGGTTGTAGTGTCTATCTGGTGGTATGCGTTCTTCGAGTAGCTCGACTCCTACTTTCGGGAAGATTATATGTTTCTTTTGCCTGGACGCTTTCAAACGTGGCAGAATACAAAGCAGCTCTGGTTCCTTGCCGGTCTAAGAGCCTCACTGCGAGAAAAACCTGTGGAAAAACACGCAAGGAATACGCAGAGGAATACTTTGTAGAAAGGACAGTTGACGCATCGCCCTTCTTGCGGCACATCAAAAAACTTATTGCCACAGAAATGGACAGAGACTTCTAGTAAAAAAAAGAACACTATAGATCTTTATTTTCTTCGTCTTACCCCTAGCAGATGTCGCCTGATATTGCGGAGGTTAAGAGCGGTTCATTGTCGAAAGTTTAATCCCATTTCTATCTCATTTCAAAAAGTATCATATACAGAATTTTTCACTTTCTCGATAGAGAGCCGTAAATTCTTTTGGAAATAGGGCTGATGGAAACATAAGAATATTCTGCCATCGCTCCTCACAAATTTCTTCTTTAAAGTACCTAGACTTTTAAAATTTGCGGAATTATTTGGCAGCCCAAATAAAACTTTGTGAGCCTTGAAAAAATCATTGAATGACTACAGATATTGAATTGTAAATTAGTTTTGGATGATTTAATATTGATCAGTCACTAAAGTGATCTATTTTTTTTAACATTTTTAGCATTCATTTGTGCTATGAAGCACAAATTTCACTGTTTACAAAGCCTTTGATCTGAAAGGCTAAATTCTAATGTATGCAAATTCTACGTTGCGATATTAGTGTCCACCTGTTTATCATTATTACCTTCCTGTGGAACTCCATGCACAGGTTACCCAATATCGCGAGCTTGAATTTCAAAATATTTCAAAAGAAAAATGTCTGTTCGTGAATTTCACAATCTTATTTAAGGATTTAAAACTCCAAATAAAATTAAAGAAGTTCGTTTATTGGCCTGAGTAATTTTTCTCTATCTATCGTTTTTCTTTCTTTGTTTGTTTTTTTTTTTTTTT